TCCGTGCGCACAGCATTGTCTTGAAACCAAACTGTCGAGCTCTTCAACGCTGCTGTCTCCTTCCCTGGCGCGCCATTGCTTGTGCCGTCGCTGCTGGGGGGGTGAGGCCGATCTCCTCGTCGTCGATGGGGGTCTCGTTGATGGTAGCCGTGAGAGAAGGGCTGGCGCCGAGGGAGCCATCCTAGACCACCAGCGGCGGTCAGCTCGCTGTCGGGGCTCCAGTTGCTTGTCGAAACGAAGGGAGTATTGGCCAGGACCAGCTGTTCCGGTGAAGCCGTGGTTTGTTTGGCCGTGAAGATGGCCGTCTGGCTTGGTTGCGTGCTGGGTTTGGTAGGAGGCAAAGGAGGTCCGACTGGCCCCGTTTGAAGCAGGCCAGCGAGGAGTGTAGGCCGTAGTAAATTCTACACGGCGTACGGCATGAGACGTATCTTCGTCTTCTTCTGCTTCTTCGTCTCGTCTTCGGTGTGTGGTTTGCTGACTGTTGTTGTCTGTTGTCTGTTTTATCTGCTCCCCTGAAGCGTGTGAGATGAAGATTCAACTTTTTACTAGCAAAACCAGCCAAGCAAAGTTCACTATCAAACTTGATACACACGGACACAGTCAGGGTGACGGTGAATAGTGACGGAATAGACGAAGAGACGGTGAGGACGACGGCGAGTGTATATGACATGTCTTATTATACTACTATGCCGCCTGGCGATAACATGTATCAACGGGTTTGATGTCGCGTGATGCCGGTTAAAGGCAACAGACAGACATACATATACAAATGCATGGGTATTCCACGGTCAGGCGTACACGGATAGACAGATAGATGGCTAAACAGATAGTTATGCTGCTGGACCGGACAGTAGAGGGTTCTCCCTGTCACCCTAGGTCTCTACTCTCTCTCTCTCTCTCTCTCTCTCCCTTTCTCCCTCCCTACCTCCCTCCCTCTTCTCACTCTCCTGTCGTCTGACTACACCCTCGACTCGATCATCCCCCTTTCCTCTGGCCGCCAGGAGAGTTGCTGGCCGATACGTTGCTGCGGATGGGGACTGCAACGGCCGAGCGAGGGTCTCGTGGTGTGGCCACTGTAGCGGTAGGTGTTGATGTGCCGGTCGCAGAACTCTTCCTCAGGTGTCCGTCTGTATTGCTGCTGCTGCCGTTATTGTTCTTGGGGAAGTTTACTGACTTTGCCATTGCTGAGCTGGCCCGACGGAGCTCGATCTTCTTTCGTTCCATCTCAAGCTGTGTCCCGTTAGTATAATGTATATACTACATATATATATATATATATGTGTGTGTGTGTGTGTGTGTGTGTGTGTGTGGGTGTATATCAATAGCAGAACTGGTGCAATGGTAAACTGACCACCTTGCGTACTCTGGTAAGAGCAGTGCCGGCCACCTCGTCTCTACCAGCCAAGTTAAGCGTCTTGCAATCGCCCACGCCGTACGGAGCAGCAATCACCACCGAATCAGCAACAACGATGCTGGTCCCGCTCCAGTGAGTTGGCATCGTCCGCTTAAACGCATCGAACAGGTCCTGAGCCTCCTTCGACACCCCCTTGCCCCTCGAGGACTCATGGTCCTTCAGACGGGAGATAGCGGTAGCCTCGCGGGTCCGTAGCGCCCGGATGTCCAGCGGGTAGATAGCAGGTTGGGCGGATGTGAAAGGCCCACCAGGCGAGGAGGGCGAGTCTGGAGCGAGAGAGAGCAGGTTGAAGCTGTGAATGCGAGTGACGGGGAGGATGGTGAAGTCTCCTGGCTGCGAGAGGGCAAGGGCAGGCGACGAGCTGCCTGTGGATGGTGTGCTGGTGCTGGTGTTGATTGCGATTATATTGGTGATGGGACAGGCAGTGAAGAGCGTTCCTTCGACCGTCACCGAAGCCGGCTGTGTCGTAGTTACGCGGATTCTACTCAATTAGCATACAGCACCATACAGATAGACAGTAGAATATGTATATATCAATATATCAATACATCAATATATCGATATGAAGGGGGGGCGGCTGAAAAGAAAGACCAACCTGGCGCCGATGGCGGAGCTGAGGGCCTTCTCCAAGCTAACTGTCCCCGACGGCCCAAAGCCATGGTGATCCTGACCCTGACCCTGCTGCGACTTGCGCTTGTTCTCCGTCGCCATCATGAATCAATCGCCCGTCTCGTCTTCTTCTCGTCGCTGGTAATTGTGGTGGTGTGGTGGTAGGTAGAGTTGGGGTCGCGTGTAGTCGGTATACGGCGTCAACGCTCAAAAGGACGGATTCCAGAGCCCGACAAGAGCAAAATGCAAGGCGCAAACGGTATGAATAGGGAATACCGGGCAGATAGACGTATCCGGACACTTGGAGAGAGCTCGCAAGGGGGTGGGAAAAGACGGCAAGCAAAAGAAGCAGAAGCAGACGCAGAAGAATAAGTATTAAAGTCGTTAAAAGAACAAGAACAAGCGGGCCAAATGGAGGCAAAGAAACGGGCACCGACGAGAAACCCCGGTCGAGGAAAACGAGGCGAAGAAGAAGAAGAAGAGAAGAGAAGACGAAAGAGAAGACTGAAGCAAAAGAAGCAAAGGAGAAGGAGATTGGAGATTTTCGACTCTTTCTTGCGGTCGAAAAGAAAGAAAAGTTGAAGTCGAAGTTGGAGTTTTGTGATGCTTATGTAAGGATGACGTTGCCTTAAGACAGT